CCTTTCCCCCCACCCCCCCAAAAAACCAAATTCTACGACTATTCAGAGTCCGACATCTTTCGTACTCGAGTATTTAAAATACCCAGAATACCCAGAATACCTATCCCAAGTACCTAGGCACCTGAGTACCTAGATGCTGTATTCTTACGATCTACATGTATTCTTACGCTCTACAAGTGATCTTACATGTATTCTTACATGTAATCTTACATGTACTGTACGAGTACTGTACGAGTAGCTATAGCGATGTGATGTGATGTGATGTGCACGTGTCTAGAACAGTACAGTATGAGTAGATACTTGGAAAGGTACTAAAAATAGATGGAATGGTAGGTAATAATGCGGGGTAAACCACACACATTATCATATCACACCACTCCATCTACAAGAAATTCTCACATTCATATCCACCCAAAATAAATCCACAAACACTTTTCAAAAAAAAAAGAAGACTCAAAAAGTATCAAAAGTATCAAAGTTGTATTCCCACCTATGCCATCCATCCATCCATCCATACCTATCTATCTAAACCCTAGCACCCCCACCCAAACCTTGCGCACACCCCACCAAACAAAATCCCTCCCCCAAATCCATCCCACCGTCCTCCCCATATGAAACCCAAACCACCATGAAAGACACCGCCCTCTTCCCACCATCCATGTTATCAAAGTGAAGCTAGCTAGCTACCAAGTGTACGTAAAAAAGAAAAAGAAGTTGTTATGACACCCATCATTTCCAGATCCTCCGTTCCCTTCTAGACACAACCCCACACTCGATAGCAGTCAAACCACCCATCCACCCAGAACTGTACTCACAGACTAAAATCCGTCGAACGAATTCAGATGATCCACCCACCCACCCACCCAGATCCGAGAAACACAACAACCTCAAGGAAAAAAACAAGACGACAAAAGAAATGAAAACAGTTAGATTAAAAAGGTCAGCAGTAGGACGTACGATTTGCGAGGAAGCCAAGACTAGGCAGGCAACAAAAAGCACAAGAGAGAAAAGTAAAGAAGGTGACAAGAAAAAAAGGGTGGAGTTCAGAGTTCAAAGTTCAAGTACCATCAAGTAGTAGAAACCAAAGGGCAAACTTGAACCAAGAATCAAGCGAGTGAAAAGAAGAAAAAGAAAAGAAAAATCGTCAGAGTTGTAATCATCCATCAAGTCATCAATAAAAAAAAAGGAGTGTAGTCTTTGATCCTGTTCCCCGCGCTCAATGCTTCAACAAGGTCAGATATACCAACGGGCTCGCTGCCGTGAAGAAAACCAATTACAATAAGGAAACCCTCAAGAGGAAAAGGTACTGAAAAAAAACATTTGACGCCATGCTGTTATGATTCGCGAAAAACAATCAAGATTTCCCCAACGCCGAAGCAGCAGGAGAGGTCAAATATGTGAGGATGTTCAATGTAGAGTCGATGAAGAACGAATCGCTTTTGTCGAGAGCACCGAGAGGCGATGGAAATGTATAGGCGGAATGTAAAAGACAAATTCGTTGATACACACAAAGAAATTGTTGCTTTGTTGATCGGGTCTTCGGAGTGGGCCAAGAAGAAGTAATAATTGAATTTATCGCTTTCTCTTCTTGTTCTTGTCTGGGCTTCCTTGTCCGCCAGCCATGATACCCGGAAGTATGGGAGTTTCAACAGCAAGATCTTCCTTCTTGACAGGAACACCCATGTGGCGTCCATAACGTCCTTTGCGACCGTTGCCCTCGTCTTCGCTGACGCATTGATCGGCACTGAGTCCTGCATCCTTACATCGTTGGCATGGACGTTGACGATCACAGCCCTTCTTGCTCTTTCGGCAACGTTGGCAACGAGGTTTGGATGACAGATCCTCTTCGTCATCACCGAGTTGTTGAGAACCCATCGCCGAAGCATTTGAAGTTTTGCGGGATTGAGATGGCAAAGAGGTTGGAGAGATGGGCTTAGCACCACCACCAGAAACGCTGCTTGCTTTCTTTGACTTGACAGTCTGGCTAGGACGTGGGGTCTTGGCTTTGACGGACTTGTTGACCTTGGCTCCAGAAGCACTGATACGTGGCTTGCCCATGACAGTTGGCATACTCTTTGACTTGGGCATGCTGGACTTTGAAGTAACCTCGTCAAGGCCTTCATCGTTATTGGCAGGGTTGAATTCATAATCAGCCTCATCTCCACTGGGCTCTGTGCTATCCTGACTGGGCAAGATATCGTCAAGATGTGGGCGGAATCTCTTGATGGCACCTGGGGGTAGGATTGGGCTAGCTTCACGCTTCTGGCGACGTGCAGGTGGTAGCTCAGGCTCACTATCGCTTTCTTCCTCACTCGTAGCACCGGTTGAAGAAGCAGCATCCGCCTTACCACTGAAGGTATCATCAAGTGTGGAAGCGGATGTGCGACCGTGGGAGATGTTGGACATTTCACCAAGTCTCATCAATTGCAAAGCGACATCTTTGTCTTCTTCTGACATACAACTGCCGACCGTTGGCTCTGGGGTGGGAAGGATACCGGAGCTGTTTGGTGTGGTACCAATAGACTGGCGGTTGGGGTATCCCGCTCCGCGAGTACGACGGTTTTGAGCAGCTGGTGTCGAGTACATGCCAGGCTGTCCAAATCCATTGCTATAGCTCTGAGGAGATTGTAGGGCTTGTGGGTTCGAGAAAGGGTGCTGTGAGGGATGTGTGAAGGGAAGAGAGGCTCGATGATGTTCCATACGGCGTGCTGGGGAGGCAGAGGAGTTTGAAGCTGCTGCTGGCATTTGTGGAGGGGCAAATAGTGGTAGCTCCTGGGGTGTGTCTGTTAGCATTTATCTCTTGCGCTGTTGAATTGTTGTCACTCACTGAGCTCTCAAACTTGGCTCTCTTGCGACGGCCACCTTCAACAATGTTGTCCAGACTAATCTCAGTATTTCCAATGTGCTCACTCTTGGTTCTGCTGCTAGTAACAGATCCAGCAGCGCCGTCTCCACTGCTGTATCCATTCAAGCCATCGCTGTGAACGTCTGGGAAGCCGCCATGTGTGCTGGACCCACGACTCTTGAAGCCAGAACGTGAGCGATTCTTCTTCATCACTGGAGGATTTGTACTAGCAGACTCGCTTCGGCGACCGCGACTGTTTGGAGAGACACTGCGTTTGCGCGATGTTCTCGAAGCCGGCCGAGAGAGTGGTTGTCCATAATTGAGGGCCTGTGCTGGCTGTGGAGGTGGCATTTGATTACCATCACCACCAGAATAATAGGCGGATGGACCTGCCGATGCTCCCGGTTGATATGGAGAAGGACCAAATTCACCAGCAGGCTGTGTTGGTTCCTCGATGACCCGAACGTAAACTACCATGTTGTTTCGAAGGTTTTCATAACGAGCGATGAGGGTATTGCCCTGCTCATCCTCGAAACTCACCCCCTTTGCACCACCGGGACCGGCATAGAGACCATAAAAGTTCTTGACAGTGGTCACGATGGAATCGGTAGTGTCATGGGGGAATATCTGCACTCGCATAGGTAGGCGCGCACGATATTGGGGTGACTCGGGAAAGAGGAGTTCGAATGCGACGCTCTTGGGAGTCGGGCTCGCACCACCAAAAGGAGACATATTTGAATTGTGTGGTGTTGTAGAATTGGACTGGCCACCAGCATAAGTTGCTGGCGGTGTAGCCATTCTTTGGGCCCCAGTGCGCATATCCGTTCCAGCCATTGTGCTCCGGGTCGGGTACGAATGTGCGCGAGAGGGGAAGCAGGAGGCTTAAACTTGATTTGGTTGCGTTTGATAAAGCCGCGCCCAGCAACAGATCTGAGTTGTGTACTCGAGAAGTATAAGACGACTGTCTGGATGGACTGAAGATGTCTTCGATCAAAAGATGTGTGGTGGAGAGAGATGTGGTGGTTGTGACTGTCGGGGGAGGAGACGATGTCGCAAGTCAATGGGGTGAAGGGACAAGGACGGAACGAATGTCAACTTGTCTTGGGGTCTGGTTCGAAAGTATTGTTAGCATTGACTCTTGTCAAGTTGATGATGAGATTTAGGGGTTGTACGATGGAGCAGGAGTAGGTATGATGGAATTGTGGTCCTTGGACGGTGAAATGGGCGCTTCTACCGATCGCAGCAGGACAGGAGAAGTGCGGTCAGGACCACAGGCACGATGGGAGGCAGATTGGTCTCTTTACTCGATCGCATAAAGTATAGGAATGAGCAAGACTTACCAGTGGTCGAAAGAGATGCCGTTGTGTTGGCTATCGAGGCATTTGAAGTCGTCGTCCGGGTGGAATTGGCGGTTCAGTGTGCTGCGATGAGGAGCGGTGGGGAGTGGAGGATACTGGGGAATATTCAAGATGACCAGGTCTTAAATTGATCAGCAAACGACCGGCGGATGGGATTCGAGTCGATCTGGCGCGCTCCTGGGTGTGGTGTTGGTCGTGGAAAGGGTTGGGTGTGCGAGAGGAGGAGAGAGGAGGAGAGAGGAGTACGAAAGTCGGCAAGCGGTCTTGATCAGATTTCATGATTTATGCAGCATTTCGACATAATTCTGGCCAACCACATATTTGCTCGACCCTGAATTTCAATTGTCTCAATTACACGCTAAGAATAAGGCACATAAAAACATTCCTCGAATTTACACTAATCAGCTTCATACGAGCATCATCTGGCTGCCGACGCTCCACGATCATGGCAACCGTCCTCGGACAGTTTCCCGCATGCCTCCCATGCCGCTGCCCGCCCAGTGATCACGATGCGATGCTCTGTCTTGCGCTTAAATTCTAGCAGAGCGTCGCAGAGACCGAGGGCAGTATATATGGTCGGCAGTGCCAGAGTGCTCCGGTGCGCCCATCTGAGGAGAATAGGCCCAAGAAGGCCTATGTTTGCTCCCCCATCGAGTCTTTCCCGTGCAGCCCGTTTTCGGAGGGACGCCTGTCTGTCTGGTATTGCCCATCAATGTATAGCCAGATAGGGCAAGAAACACACCACATCGATTCCGCGCTGGCCACACTCGCACTCACCATTTCCATGGAATTGCGCCCACCGCTCTGCAGTCTGATGGATGCGATGCGATGCGACTGGAAATCCCCAGCTGCCTCTGGCCCTTTCCCGCGGGTGTTGAGACAACGAACAGCTCCTCCAGACGCAGTGGCCAAGTGCTTGATTAGGTCTGGCTAGCCAATGATGGCCGCGCCAACGTCTGAGGCAAGGATGCGGTGGAGGATGATCATGGATGGGTGTTACCCTTCTTCTTCAAACTGTTGGAGGAAACAGAACGTCCCCTGTTATGAGACCTTTACGTTGTAGCTTTAGTACGCCGCAGTATCGGACCAGGTCACCGAGAGTGGACTGAGTTTAGTGTATTTGCTTTGCAGCTTTGGTGTTAGTGGTGGGTTTGCGCTGATACTGATACACATTGAGAATCTTTGCCCAAGGATGTTGGTATGCGCTGGCGCATAGTCGTAAGTCGCAAAGCAGATTTATGCCCCAAGATTAAACGCTGAACGCTGAACGCTGAACGCTGGTCCAGAACCCCTTTCGAGGATTGACCAGAATAGTCTCGAATAGTTAGTCTGATCTTTGGGAAGATTGTGTATTCAGTATTGCCCGTTGACAGAGGGGAGTGAGAGTCTCGGCTACCGCCTTTCGTGGCCCCTCCAGGTACTCACACAACTCCAAGCAAAAAAGATGGAAGTCGTTGGAAGCATGAAAGTGGAATCCCTATCGGCCACTAGGACGATATATGACCAAGATAGACTTTTTCTCCCGGCTGGGATGCGTGTCGCTTTCTCCATCGTGTGGATTCTCTCACGTCGACCATTTGACATTCGTGCTACGATGACTGGACTAGATGGATCATCACACTCTAGAAGTGCAGCTCTAGTATACGATTCTGTTTGTCGTGTGCCACCGCTGCAGGGAACCTTGGTCGACCAGCGCAACGAGCGCCTTTGGCTTTGGCTTTGGCGAGTCGGCACAGGAAACTTTTCCTCATTGCGCAAGAAGTCTATGAATGAGTGAAGGGTGGAAATACGCGCAGTGCGTTTTCTGATATGAGATGGGTTCTGTGGAGGTATGGTTGGTCCTTTGATGACCCTGCAGGGTTGGCGGTCCTCTGACTTCAGCGCGGGTTTGAGATGGCGATGACGACGATCCAATAGGCGGTGGTCAAGATATCGAAGCCGAACCGCAGCCCGTGGCCGGGAGACGTCGACCTCTGACCTTGAATGCATGCTTGGGAAATATGCGCTCCATCCAGTAAGGGTGAGAGCCAGTCAAGCTTTGTCAACAATGTCGCTGTCGCGGTCACGCTCTGTGTTGTGGTGTGTGGAAGGAAGACGGTCTGCGCCATGGGCTGGTGGGCTCCAACGGGCTACCCCTCGATATCCGCCTCGGATCGATCCTGGGTGCAGCGCAGCGCCTGGCTAATCGGGATGGGGGGTGTACGGAAGAGTACAAAGAGGGAAGTGCTATGAAAGAACGAAGAAAAGGGTAACATTCAAATATCTTCATGAGGGATTCACGGCCAATGAGGGTGGCATGCCCTCCTCCTCTCCAGCAATGGCAGAGGAAGCGTGCGGTGGGGACCGGGCAAATCCATCAGCAGCAGCTCCAGCCAAATCGTGGCTGACCTGGAAGGAGAGAGTCGACAGAGCCCGCCGAGTGGCTAAGATGCCTATCGCCTGTCGCATACACACCAGGACGACGGGATCTGGATCGCCTTGAGCGGCGCAACAAATGGATGTGCAGAGGATGGCGATGCGACACTTCTCGATGCCGTTGGGAGTGCATTTGGAGGTGGTCGTCGTCGATGAGGAGCCGTCACGTGATCCCGTGTGAGAATGGTGTTCTGCCGGGGTCCGAGGATGCGAAAGTCAACAATCGCCAAACAAAGGAGATACAATGCGATTGTGAGGGGGAGATGTGGAATTTGTGGATTGTATATATACATAGATATAGAACAACAATTAGAAGCAAAAAAACTCGAACTTTGTAGTGTTCGTGGACCAGTATCAAGAACTTTCTCAAATCACGGCTTCCGGAAGAGACGTGACGGGCGACGTAGCTCGGGATCGTTGCGACGAGCAACGGCGCATGTCCGCGACTCCCTGCGGCTTCGGCTTGGCATCCGCGTTAGTGTCACCCACTGGACCGTTCCACGCGATCGGCGTGTTTACATTGCCCGTGCACTCGAGCATCTTTGTTTAGGTGCAGTTCGAGGTTGCCCTGTCAAAAACATCAGGGCCTCGCCGTCTGCAATCTTGCCCCGTTGCTTTGCATCTCCATCCTTCTTCCCTCGACTTCTTCACCACCTCACCCACCTCACCCACTTCCCTTCCAACCATCCACCACACCACCCCCTCCTCCACAACATCTTCCATGGACCTGCAGTAATTCTTCTACTTCTCCTGCAGCACTTCTTCGCCTTGGAGCAAATCGCAGCAGTCCTGCATCCAATCCACCCAGAAATCAGACAGAAATTACTACGAAGCAGTTCTCCTCTCCACCCCCCATAATATCTTCGTCTCCCCTACCGCCCTCTTCCCCCTTTTAGCTTTTTGGGAAACGCGACTTGCAATCCTCGACGACGACGATATTTTGCACAATCCCATCTGCCCTTCCAGCGATCGAGTAGTGCTAGATACGAGTTGCATGTCCTCTTTTGGCAATTAGCTATTGTGAATCCAATCCCAGTATTCTATTACTGAACCTCCGACCATGGACGCGAGAGTGAGTGTGGTGTTTTCTTGTTATGGTCCCTCAACGGCCCGCTGCCATTGACATATTTCATATTTTCTCGAGTGGGACCTCGCACATTCCTCACTTACTCAAAACAACCACATTTTCTCCCAAACATCGCTTTGACAAGCTGGAAACTGACATTTAATCTCGCAGCCCCAACGATTCCGTCCTCTTCGCCTTCCCGGCGACGAGAATTCCGCTCCATCCACCAAACATCAAACCCTCCACCAACGCCACAAGTCCACTGGCACTCTCAACAGTATGGCACCAGCAGGAGGTCTGAAGGCAGCTGCCAAACGAACCGCTTTTGGAGATGTGAGCAACACGACGAAGAGCTTGATCGTTCACGATGATTCTGTCATTTACGGTAGATCGAACAAGTCGGATTTCGTCAAGCCCCTCTCGCACGCTGAGAAGCCGGCCGCGCTTCTTCGTCCTGCCCAAAGACCACTCAATTCCGCCCCCAGCAAGACTCACCTCCCCGCCACGTCGGCTTCTCTTTCAACCACTGTCGCAACCAAAGTCCCCCTCGGAGATTCCCAGTCCATCATGCCAGCTCCAAAGCGCACCTTGTCCAAGAAAGGCACCAATATCTACAAAGACAACGCACAAGACGCTCTTTTGAACGCACCAATTGCCCCCCCTGCTGCCGTTCGCGCACCAGCTGCAGTCAACCAAGTTCTCGAGCCGCGACAACACAAGAGTCAGCCACAACTGAAGCAAGAGCAGCCAGTCCTCCGACGCACACAAAGCAAATACTTGGACAACGCTGCAAGCTCTGTCGCCCCTCTTGTCCCTACTCATCCAATTTACGAAGACGCTATCGAGGAGCAAGAAGTCATCACTGAAGAGGCTTACGACACCTACCTCACCATGGCTGAGTTGCAAGAAGAGAATGTCAAGCTTCAAGAGGCCGCTCAATCCAACGCTGACGATGTCAAGCGTCCCAGCTCTGGTCCAATTGAGCCTGAAGAGTACTGGGAGGAAGATGAAGAAGAGGAGATCTACGACGAACAAGGTTACACTACTGCACATTCCTATCGATCTCGTGGAGACAACACTACTGGAGGTGCCACTACTGTTCTCTTCCCAAAGATTACCAACAAAACCAAGAAAGAGCTTGAGGCTGCTGCAATTCTTGTTGAGAGCACCCGAACTCAAGAGGATATTGAAGATGAGGCTTGGGATACTAGCATGGTGGCTGCCTATGGCGATGAGATTTTTGCATACATGAGAGAACTTGAGGTTAGTACCCCCGCTTCCACCGACTTCACTTTCAAGGCCGACGTGTTAGTCCCGCGTTGCGTCGGTCACGCAATTCTAATCAGGAGGCTGGGGAGGCTGGGAATCGGCGCTTTTCCATCTGTTTCGCCGACTTGTCGTCATTCTCTTTGTTTAGCGAGCCGTCAACCTCGCCTAATCAATGACACTGCTAACATACCAATCTAGATGAAGATGCTTCCCAATGCACACTACATGGACAATCAAGCAGAGATCCAATGGTCAATGCGTTCCGTCTTGATGGATTGGTTGATTCAGGTTCACCACCGCTTTTCTTTGCTCCCAGAAACTTTGTTCCTCACTGTCAACTACATTGATCGCTTCTTGTCATGCAAGATTGTCTCGCTTGGCAAACTTCAGCTTGTTGGTGCCACCGCCATCTTTGTTGCCGCCAAGTACGAAGAGATCAACTGCCCCTCTGTCAGCGAGATTGTATACATGGTGGATGGTGGATATACAGTCGATGAAATTCTCAAGGCTGAGAGATTTATGTTGAGTATGCTTCAATTTGAACTCGGCTGGCCTGGACCCATGAGCTTCCTCCGACGCATCAGCAAGGCGGATGATTACGATTTGGAGACCCGAACATTGGCCAAGTACTTCCTTGAGGTTACTATCATGGATGAACGATTTGTTGGATGTCCTCCTAGCTACATCGCAGCAGGTGCTCATTGCTTTGCCCGTCTTTTGTTGAAGAAGGGAGAATGGGTACGTTTCCTTCTTGTGATTGTATCACAAAACACTAACTTTCTATAGACCCATGCTCATGTCTACTACTCTGGATACACTTGGACTCAACTTCGACCCTTGGTATGTATGCTGGTTGAGTGCTGCCAACATCCCCAAACTCATCATGCTGCCGTCTTTGACAAGTACTCTGATCGTCGTTATAAGAGAGCATCCCTTTACGTTCGAACCGAATTGCAAAGTGGTTTCGTCCTTCCACCAATGCATCTCCCAAAATCTCGAACATCACTCGCATCATCAAGTCCATCTCTTGAAGATGTCGCTAAACACATGCCTTTCGAGACTCGTGAACCTTTCACCCAATTGGTTCGAGTCAAGGCATAGTTGATCAATCTGCCACGTCTCGACATGAAAAATACGACTTCGATTCTCTGTATATTATTGGATCAGATACGGTGATAATTCCTGATATGGTATTTCCTACCGCACACATCTGGATCCTTTTCTACATTCACAACCAAAAATCCACATTACATTGCTGGGCCATTCTGCCATCGACATTGCATCTTTATGGCGTACATGGATCCACACATTTTTTTCACTTTTCCGCGCAACATGGTGCACACCATTTTCACCTGACCCAGACAAAAAACGCAACCATCTGCTTCTAGCGTAACGATGCCCCATGATATGACGAGACCAACGAACAAAACAACCTCCAAGACGCTGCAACCATTTCTCCGGCGGCGCGATAATAAGAAACAATTGGGTTGGCGCGTGTAATGCTTTGTTCTTTCTTTCTCTCGTCTTTTTATTCTTCTTCCTTCTTCCTTCTGACACTGAAATGGATTGTAATGGCTGTTGAATGGTTCTTTTCGCTTCTTCTTCCTTTTTTCCTTCTTTTCCTTCATTTCCTTTGTGTGCTTTTTCATGTGGCTTTCTTAAGGAGGAAATGCGATTTGACAGACCCTAAAAAAATGGCGTTTACGGATGGATGGATGAGGGATATGGGGATGGTTGTCAAGCAAGCAATGGATGATGAGAGACTCTGCTGATGTGACTTGACCTCACCTGGGATTGCCCGGATGTTAATTTTTCCTTTTTCCCTCTCTACAGTAGTCTCCGTGCGTACTATTTGAGTATGTGGGGATGAATGAGGGGATAGGTAGTACTTTGATACCAATGAGAAACTTTGATACTTTTCAATTTTCGTGAAGGGCTTTTTGTGTGTGGTTGTAAAGTGATTGCGGTTACGTACGATCTATCTTATCTTGACTCTACGTGTGTAAATCCGTAACTGAAGAGGTTTCTCCATGACAATGATGACTATTATTAGCGTCTTCTTGTACCTCTTTTTTGTTTGTTGCTGGTTAGTTGGCCATATGTGGAGTTGGTTACCTTGTCAGCTCCAAGCTTGATCTACAGTGCTATCTATATATGCTCTAAGGATGAGAGAGTTGGGCGTGGGGATTTGGATTGTGGATTGATTGATTGACGGGTGAGATTTGAAATACGGTAGGACGGATTGAATTGAATTGCACGGGATTGCACGGGATTGGACTAGACTGGAGTTTTTTATCATGAGATGCGCGATGAGAGGAGATGATGAGACGAGAAGATGAAGTGGGTATAAATTTACTATAAAATGAGGTGAAAGAGGGTGTCTTTTATCCTGTATAAGCCGCGGTATGCTATGATATATATATGGATCTGAATGGTATGTGTAGGATTGTAGGAAGAGGGGAGGCGGGAGGGAGTGAGAGGTTGCAGATTTTCTACGAGTACTCGAGGGTCTTTGTATGAAGCTTAGCTGCCTTCTTTCAAGTTTTTTGGGTCTATCTAGGGTTTAGCTTTTTTGTTTGGGGTTTCGTTGTGGGCGATCGTGTTTGGGGTTCGGGATTTGGGGTTTGGGGGAGCTGGGAAGAGAAGGGTTCGTTGGGTTTGAAGGCAATCTAGTATAATCCTCTCGCCTCGATGTCTCCCCTGAGACTCTTATACTAAGATTGGTTCGAAGGAGTGCTCTGGTGTTGGGGGGTGTTAGTGTGAGGGTGATGAGGGAGGGGAGGGATGAGGGAGGAGATTGGGGGAGGTGGTGGAGGAGATTGGGGGAGGTGGTGGAGGAGATGGAGGGGGTGGGAGGTGTGGTATTAGGTATCTAGTTTTCTTTTCTTTTCTTTTTCCTCGACGATTTCTTTTGCATTGGGGGAAGGGGAGAGAGAGGACTATGCGTTTATTTAGTTGGTATATATGGAATGGAATGGATATAACGTTGCATTTCAGTATAAACTTGATCCTACGTACGAGAAATACTCAAGTCGGTAAGTTGTGTGTGGTGGAACTATGGAATAATGGAATGGAATGCTTTCTTGAAGGTGTTGTTGAAGTTTGTTGTACCTAGTATTGTATTCTAGATTTTGGAGAGGATACGTACGTAGGTAAATTGAGTGAGACTGAGAGAGTAGAGTACTTTTGACCTTTCGAACGGGAAATGATGATGATCTGTTGCCCTTTGTGGATTGGGAAAGTGATGAGGAAGGGCGGCTCATGTGATGGTTGGAATTCGAAGGGATTCTGTGGAGTGTTTAGGTGTTCTTGTTGTATTTCGAATACTCCTCCTTTAGTTCTTGAGATTTTGAGATTTTGAGGTTTATAGATTGATATATGTTGTGATTTCCAAGGAAATTGATTGTAAGCTGGGAGTCGAGAATTTATGCATAGTAATTGGGATGGGTGGTGTTAGGATTCAGGAGGAAAGATTGTGAACATTGAGAGGTTATGTGAATAATAGGTAGCATTTCTCTGTTGGGGGTTGAGGTATTTATTTTATGTCTAACTATGTATTTTTCTTTTTCTTTTCTTTTTCAGAGCAAGGAGAGAAAGAACTACGCACATATTTGCGCAGCGTAAGAAAGAAATACTCAGCTAATCAAGTATACACGGGTTATACTTAATTCGGTTAGAGTAGGTTTGAGTATATAGTCTGGTTAAGTAGGTTAGAGTAGTGGATTCAGCTACTTAAGTATACTTAAGTAGTTGTATAATAGTAGTAACTAAAGCACAAAATAACAAGTACTCTTTGTTAGAATTATAACCCCTTAGCTAAAGAGCTACTCGCTAGTACACTTATAGTAGGTACTTATAAGTATTTCCTCGCTTAATCAGTAAAACAGTATATCTTACGCTATTTACCTTCTACTAATATTAGAGAGTACGTACTTAACTAAGCTAAAGTAGGTGCACCGACTAGTCGGAGTACCCCCGGTAAGCTACGAGACCTCGGGCCGACTCGCGCAACTCTACTTAATTAGTACTCTAACCTACTTAATTCTTGGCGAGTACGTTACAGTAGGGTTGAAACCTACTTAAGTAGTGTTGAGTAGGTGCCTATACTCTACTCTACTCTAGTTGTTTAGTACGCTGTATTTGCGTATTAAAACGATGAAAAAGAACAAGAGGTTAAAGTAGATTAAAGGGGTGTAGTAGCAAGTAAAAGGGCATTCAAATTTTTGGCTCTGTTGATTAATGATAAGGTTGTACTCGTATTAGTTGACTCTTTTCAAGTAAGTGAACTCGATCCTTCTTTTTATAAATTTTTGGGATACTTCAGAGGAAGTGGTTTTCCTAGAATGGATAGATCAAATTTGGTAATGAAGGGGCGATTCATATATGTGAGTGAAATGTTCTGGCTTGAGTGGTAAGGGGTCTGAATATGGCATAGTTGATCAATTTGGTAATAATGTTATGCACATTGGAATATCTTTGTGCAACATTGAGTAGTTGTTTTATGCAGAACGTGGGGATAGTGAATATATGACCGGGGTAGTGGCTAGCCTGAGCCAATCAAAAGTGAGTGGCTCGGAAGCTCCCAAAATTATTTTATCAACCCCGCCAAATTCTTCTACTCTAGTAGCTCTCTGATCATAGGTACAGTTCAAGGCCATATCAGTCGCATTCGATCTCAACACAACCACAGTTGTCGCACAACAATTTCAATGCGATAACACCCTTCTACTTTAATCAAACTGTCCATCCCTCTTCAAAATGCCACCAAAAGGTGCTCGAGCACCACGAGGCGGACGAGGTGGACGAGGTCGCAGAGCAGCAGCAGCTCAACCTCCCACCGTTCCCGAAGTTCAAGATAACACTCCTCCAGCCGTCTCAGCAACTATCACAAACGAACCTGAATCCCATCCAGCACCGAATGATACCCCTCCAGCCCCTTCAACACCCCTCGAGGGTCCGTCGCAGAATCAACCGAATAATGACTCCTCGGAACATTCACCAAATTCTTCACCTGCCCCCATACCGACCGAAACACCAGCTCCTACACCCGTTCGCGCACCAGTTGAGGCGAGAGAAAATTTTGCGCCGCCACCTGCGCCTGTGCTTCGGGGTACGAGGGGGAAGGGTCTATTAACTACCGTTGGTAGAGGTGGAAAGAAACCGGTTGTGGAGAGTAAATTCAAGCCCAAGGCTATTCGAAGAGATCAAGGGGAGCGAGAAAGATTAGCGGCCGAGGAGATTCAACGAGCTGACGAGGAGAGAAAAAGGCTGCAGGTTGAGCTGGACAGAAAGGCTAGAGCTTTTAGAGGTAGAGGTAGAGGTGGTAGGGGACGTGGTGATATTATGGGGAGATCATTTGCGAGGGGACATAATGGGGCGAGTAGTTTGTTTGGAATTGTGCCGGAGGGTTTGAGTACGTTTATATTTTCACTTGTGTGCGGATTTTTCTGAACTAATTGGATTTACAGCTCACAAAACGCAAACAATTCTTACATCTGGATCGTCTGGTGGCGGCGGTGGAGGAGGAGGTGGAGGGGGTGGCATTGGCCATAGTTCTGGCTCTGATCCTAGTGGATCAGGAGGTAGTAATGGATATTTCAGTCGCTCTGAAGGAGGAAAAATGATGGAATTTCCCGAGTATCCGGATATGGATCTTGGAACAAGAGTTGATATTGCTAAGCTCAATGAGTCTGCTCTCAACAACGACGATGGAGTGATCTACTTGGGTACCAGGAAAAAGACACATAGACCTATTCGATTGAACAGAACCGAGCATGTGGATCGAAATGCTGACAAGATCAAGAGAGAGCCAGAGGAGGACGTTGAGCCAAAGAAGGAGGGCGAGGAAGTCGCTAAAGGCAATGGAAGAACTGAAGTGGCCGAGGGAGTTGAGGCGATGGATATTGACGAACAGACACCACAATCTGCAACACCACAATCTGCAACACCTCAAGATGGAACGCCACAATTCGAAATCACAGGGGAATACGTACGCGTCAAGACCGAGCCAGCAGAAGACGAACCCGTCATTCCTCCAGGAGGTCAACAAGCACCCCCAAGAATCAACAAAAAGGACAAAAAAATAGAAGAAGAACCCACTGCCGAGACTGAAGAAGAAGTTGAAGAAAAACGCCGCCACGCAGAAGACGTTGCTGTCCTCGCAGCAGAACTTCAAGATATGCAAGCACTGGTCCCAGATGAAGCCTCTACACATCGTGCAATGGACGACAGTGGAAATCCCATGGAAGGATTACAAACAGAGGGTCAAACACACACCAAAGGTGAAGGTCGAATCTATCTCTTCCAATTCCCACCCATCATCCCTAAACTCTACAATCCCCTCACCGAGAAAAAACCCGATCACCCTCACGCCGCTAAACACCCGAAAGATGCCAAACTCGCCAAAGACGGTGTAGAAATCACAGGCACCAGTACAAAAGTCGACCTCACGGCTCCCAAACACCCAGTCAAAATCGAGGGTCAGCAGGAAATCGTCATCAAAGATGAAGAGCTGGTTGAGGAACCGACGGAGGAGGCGGTTGATAAAGAGGGTTGGATTGGGAAGATGGTTGTTAGAGCGAGTGGAAGGGTCGAGTTGTGCTGGGGTGGTACGGATATGCTTGTGAGTAAGGGTATGGCGGGGGAGTTTCTGACCACTGGTTGTGTGGTGGAGAGTAGGAAGGATCCGAATGACGCGGAAGGCAAGAAGTATCTTGAAGGGAAGGTGGCGGCTATGGGTAAGGTGATGGGGAAGATGGTAGTTGTTCCGGATTGGGAGAAGGTTGATTGATGGGTGCATTATGTGAGGTGCGAGCCAAATCGTGGGTGGGATTGGTTGGGTGGAGTGTATGAATTGTAATGCGTGGGCATTTCGAGAGATCTTTCGCACTTAGAGTGGTTGCTTCTTATGGGTGGGTGGCGTTGCATTGCTGGGCGTTGGGATGATGGTATGGTATGAAAATGGGCATTTGCTTTGCTTTGCTTTGCTTTGCTTTGCTTTGCTTTGCTTTGCTTTGCTTTGCTTTGCTTTGCTTTGCTTTGCTTTGCTTTGCTTTTCTTTTCTTGCGGGATGGGGATACCATATCGTTGTTGCGTTGTATCTCGGGCTGGCTACATCTGTTCTCTTTTTTTTCATACTCTTTCGTACAGTACCCCGAGGAGAAGAAAGTTCATGGGTTGGGTGTGGTGGGGTGTTTCTAGATGGTATGGTATGGTGGATAGATAGGTTGTGCATGGTGGAGAATTGGGAATGAAAATGAAAATGCGAATCTTTTGATTTTTGAGTAAGGGTTTGTTTGTGTATGGTGTGGTGTGATGTGATGTAGTTGGTACTGTACTCTACGTACTGTAAGACCACTCTAGCGGTCGTAAGAATCGTAGTTCTAGCTACATGGCTCAAAGAGCGGTATAGTAGGAGAGTGCAGAGAAGTGGATGTAAATCACTCCTGCCCTTGTTACCTTATATATCCAAGGGGGAATACACAGATTTTCCTTTGAAGGGGCTGGAAATGGACTGGGATGGGAAGGGGATGGGAGAAAGAGAAGTCATCTATTGATGATCGTAAGTTTCGTTCGGGGAAAAGATTATCTCAATGTGTACTGGAATCGAGGGCTTTTTTGGGAGTTTAGTGGTGAGGAAAGGGGTCTGTGAGAGATTACTGGTGGTTGAGTGGGTGATTGGATTGGATAGGCCAGGGGTCGATTATTTTCTTTCGCACATTGCATCCAAGCACGTCAAGTTTTGACTTACAGGTCTCGGTCTCGTTCGGCCCTGTCAACTCGTCATTAATTTGGCAACCCACCTCACGTTGCAGTACCAAAGGTAATCCGACAAGACGGCATATTCGAAGTAGTGGGAGCCCCAACATTAGGAACAGTTGAAGACTTCCAATTTGGTCTTTGATACTTTGGAAACTAGGGAGGGGGGAGCGGTGTGTGTACTGTCGGAATTTCTTTTGGTGTCGATTTTTGAATGTTTGTTTGTTCAAATATGATATGTATATTCGTAGGAGGGTGTATTGTATTGTAGGTACTGTATTTTATGTCTAGAGTCTAGAATTGACCTGTATTCTGTATTCCATAAGATTCTACCTATGGGACGGGTTTCTATGGTGACTTGTTTGTTATGGTGATATCCCAGTTGCGTACTTCCTGTCATGCTGGCTAGAAGTAGGGTGGGATGAGGAAGGGGATTTGTGTTTGTGTTTGTGAGAAGGGGGAGGAAGAATGAAAAGAAGAGTTGGAGAATCTAGGATGTGTAGGATTATCTAATGGAAGATGTAGGTCTGTGGTGAATCATGGGGTCTTCTGAGACTACATAAGGTTAGATACAAGTATCTGTGATCCTGTATGTGTAAGGATGTGCACCGGCTTCGATGACATGGTGGAGGGTTGTAAGGTGATATAGATAGATAATGGACGAACGGGCTTGGATCAGGTATCTATGTATCTTGATGGAAATATAGTTGATATGGTATCTTCTTATTCGAGACCGATTAACAATCTGTCTTACTGAGTACTAGGTGTTGATAGCTGAAACCCATTCTCTACAGTATCTCATATATACACCTTCCAAGTTCCAACCTACCTCTATCCATTCTATCTACCCTGCCCTGTCCACTCTCCTTCCTCGTCTACAATACATAATCTGCAACAAGATAGATAAACCCAGCAAACAAGCATTCTTTTTAACCATGCAGACACGATCCAATGACAGCAGAACAAATTGCTGCTTACCATAGAAAAACCGTCCTAGCTAATGTATCACGAATGTTTATTCGTTCCAACTTTCCTGCCGGCTTTCTAGCGAATTCTTACTAGCGACATATTTTATTTCGAAGGGGTGTAGGAAGGGAAGAGATGAAGATTGAGGGTGTTGGTATTAGTGTTAGTGTCGAAAAGTTGGGTATTGTCGATTCCTTTCTCAACATTCGATTAAAAGCGTGGGGCTGGAGTTGGGGATTTTGGATAAGGCCCAAGGAATTTTGGGGATGACGGCGGGATTGGGGTCAGTTGTGTGGTTACAAGGAAAGGGGCAGTGTCTGGGATGCTGGCTCCTATGCGGCTTGTGTTTGGGTGGCTCGGGAACGGATGGGTCTATTCTTTTGCTGAAGATTGGTGGTTTTATATGAGATTTTTACTGGGGGGCAAGGGGGCAGGTAGGTGGGTTCAAGGAATGTGGATGTGTTTGAGTGAGGCTGTTGAGTATGCGCATGTTGTCTTGATACCTCATCTTGGTAATTTGAGTTACTTAAGTACCATCAGGTCTTGTATATTAACATACAGTACTTCGTCCTTCAGCTTCAGCTTGCTTGCTGGCTCGAGATTTCTCGAAATTCGCACTCCAAAAATCTTCAATTTCTTTACTCCCGTTCATGCTGATGAATTAGCAAAGGTAGACTCATTTTCTCACCCGATTACTGGGGATGTCTAAATCACGCTAAGCGGCACCATTCTTGTAGATGGTACAAGCACTGGCAAATCATGTTCTCGCTATTCTCACGTGGATGAAGGCATTCTCATGTCCTCCTTGAACAAGCCTTGTGCAATGCTAACCCCACTATATCCGTACAGACCTTACAATAAGAAGATTTATGTGTGAATTGACCGTCAGAACAGATGCTGTTGTCAACTACCTAACTATCGGTCTGTGTTTAGAAAGTTTATGCGTTTAAATCAAAAATACAAATTATTTCGCAGCTAAAGTGGGGATTACGTGCTTGTTTCAGCTGTAGCTGAAAGTTGATTACTTCTCAGGACGTTGGCAGCAGGTACTCGAACCTTTTCCACTTAGGTTTTTGACAGAGTTACGTATATCGTGGTCCTTGGATTTGTGTTATACACGTTTCTCGTCCACCTTCCTGAATTTCATCTTTATTTTCGTTGATTATTGAATTTTGTGTAAGGTAAGGAATTGTATATGTATATTTCGGGAAGTCTGATAGCGATCATTTTGACCAGAGCAATATTTTTCCTTCACTACTGTTCTTGGTATCAGTAAGGAGGATCAGTCGCATTGACGGGGTCTATTCTGATACGGCATCCCGAATCTACTACTAAACTAGATGACTAAATCGCAAATCGTAAATCGCAAAAGTCTTATATTTACTACTACTACCTACTCTTGTGCCTATACCCCTACACTCCCACCCTCTCTTAAACTTCACAGCCTTGAAATTCTTACGTATACACTCCCTACCCTCGCTATCGCCCACCCTCGCTATCGCCCACCCTCGCTATCGCCTACCCTCGCCGTCGTACCCTCGCTGTTGCACCCTTATTGTCGCACCCTCGCTGTCGTATAAGGGTTGTGCCCTAGTACGTTGTTTAGAAGAGAGAGGGAGAGGGAGAGAGAGGGTAGCGGAGGGGACAGAAGCGGGCTCGGCGGGGAAATATTTTCGTGCGTGTCGCTTATTCCTAGCCCCTAATACTACCTTTATAAAGAGGCTAGGCTAGCACGTGTTACGCTAAGAATTATTTGCTACTTGTCTATCCTCTCTCCCCCTCCTACTTTCTCTTCTCTTTATTTCTAACACAATATTACAACAGCGAGCATCTAAAAGCTAGGTAGAGTAAGAAGGCGTATAAGAGGGGTAGGGAAGGAGGGGCAGGTTCCTAAGGGGAGCCGCCGGGGGGTATAGGCAGGGATACGTCACGTGCGCTACACGTGACTCGCGAGGGACCGTATACGAAAATAGGGGTAAGGAAAGGGGGCGTGAGAGGGTTATAGTAGAGAAGCTGTATTATATTATATAGAATACTATAAATTTTACAGACTAATAACTCTGTCCTTTAGCTCTTCCTCCTATATAAAGTAACTTTTACTATTTGCGATTTACGATTTAGTTATCTGGTTTAGTAGTAGATTTGGGATGCCGTATCTGATGGGATGGATAGACTGTAAACGAAGTGTCTCAAACTCGGTTTTGAGTTCGAGTACTGAAAGAAGTGGGATATTAAAAATTTCAAGAAAAGAAGCGAGTCGATGCTAAGCCAGGGGCATATTGGAGAAATCTAGTCAAATAACGCGAAATAGAGAAGTGTACTAGATTGAATCACAAAAGCATAACAAGGTGCAGTTCACTTGACTCTTTTTGCTTGGACAATCTGGACCTCCAAGAGAACTCTTTTGATAATGACATGAAAGCTGCTTACCTCTTTTCTATGATCTAAATCATAAACGAGAAGAATGCATCCTCCTAACTGAAAGTTCAAGGAAACCATTATTGCGTTACTCGCCGTCGAAGCGAGATGTGCTGACGGATTCTTGGAGTTTGTCTACGATCAAAGGTTCGTGTATAAATTTAGCGATATGAATACATTCCAATGTTCTCAAATTTTCAAGAAAGTGCTGAGCCTATGACTTATATTCTTCGGGTTGAAAGAAAATTGATTTGAAGGTGTTGTACTACTGTACTGCAGGAACTCGGGTACAAGAGTGTTATGAAGGCCATTTTCTTCGCCTCGATAATGAGAGACCTTGAAGCCAATCTCTGACTCACAGTGCCATCACTCACTGAAATAGAGACACACTGAGCACCGTATGAGGAACACCCTCTACACGGATAGGGTATCTTACTTACCTACAATAGTAGAAGAACCACCCACCTGCGATCTCAAAGCCCCCAACATCACGTGACTTGACCCATGCCCCCGCAGGCGAAACAGAACTTCAACCAAGAGACAGCTATGTGTTTCGAAGTGCCCGTTCCGCACGCTGAATGAACCATAATGGATGAGACAAAAAAGCACCGAAAATGCCCTAGTTGCCCGAACAAGCTAAATTTGATAACGTTATAAGAGGAGATGATAAATCGATAGACGTATCTTTTGAGGGGTCGAGCCAGTCACTAATTTAGTATCTCTTGAAATTCAAGCCACGGAAGTATGAAGGTTCTGCAGTAACCGACAACTGCCATTGTGATTTAATATCTGAGTATCGACGGGCAAGATAATTCGATAAAAATGCTCACATAACCACAGGAGATGCTGATAATTCAGTAATGAGATATCAAGCATTGATTTCTTTGATAATATGAAGCAATCTTTCTATAAGAAGGATATATATAATAAATTGAAAACCGTGGTTTGTAAGAAGAGTGGGGCACAGGAAATCTTCTGACTATAAACTTAGCGAGGGATGTCTTGATGGAGGAATCTCCTAAGCCAAGATGGTACAGGAGCCGAGAGATGAAACGTTCTTCACCCACAGGAACTGAAACATATGATTTTCTCTGCCATTATGAGTGCTTCTACTGTTTGATACTAGATTGACAAAGCACACTACCACATGGTAGCATGGGTGATGAAACTTAAGTCTACTACTGAATAGCCATAATCTCAGCCGTGATTCAGTTCTACTTGAAAACCCTATGAGATTCGACTAGCACTAATGATTCGACAGCCAACAATTTTTCGATGTAAATCCCGCATCTATAGTATCTTGTGAGATCGCTGATAAAAAGATCAAAATGCTGTAAATCTTTCATCTGCTTCGACTACGAATGTGCTGGTACTTATCTATTCTTCTAACCTTCTACTAGTCAACCATCTAGTAAGAGTCTCTCTTACGAAAGCGGTACTTCAACCCACAACCGCAAATCGTAGGCGGGACTCAGAAATAGAAGACTTACATCTGAGTAAATTTGAAGGGCTGACAAAAGACAGTTCTCTCATGATACTTTCCTTATCTAACTTTCAAAGAATATGTGATCAACCCTGAAGATAATCCTCTTGTAACGTATGAATTGTAGATTATTGTTTTGTTCACGAATATATCAGTCTGAGAACTACGTCCTCTGTTATACGCTTTCATTTACTGCAAAATCTTTGGTAGATTTAAGATATAGGAAACAGCATATAAAGAGTATTTCGAAGGGGAGGAATAAATTAAGAGATACAGTCCTAGTAACGTAGTTTGAGATTTGAGTAACAGTTACCTGATGCCTAGGGAACTTCCTTACAGAAGTCAACTTACACTTAGTAGCAAATTAAGCTGATGAGCTATAGTCGTTGGGTTGGTCATCCAGCAAAGTCACGTGGTTGACACCTTCTGCGTTGGTGTATTTCTATTGTTACTTATGTCCCTAAGACTACAGAAAGGACGTAATGTCTTATGGAAGGTAATATTGTTCAACAGATATATAGTATAGAAGTTACATATAGCGCCTTAATCAAAGAAATTGTTTTATGATTTGATATTATATTTTTATATTAGCGCAAGAACTGTTTAGCTACTCTTCTACTTTAGCTATTTGGGAAAACATGTAGTCGTATAAAACGAATTGAATGTTTTTGTTTGTATAGCTGAATATACGTCGTGAGTTAATCGTAAGTGTTTGCCGGTTATTCTAGTCTCTTGAATCCACAAGATAAATCGTGGGCTTAGCTAAGCATGCAATTGAACAACCCTTAATACATCTTTGTTCACTGCTCCTGTAAACAAACTAATACAACTTACAATGTAAATGCTTTAGGTAGGAGAAAAACCTGTAATTACAGCAGGTAGAACTTGACGGATGCAAATGTCACGTGTTGTCGCTAATTTCGCTTAGCAAAGGGCAAGGGAGCTTGGAAAAACAATTTTCACTTCAAGTGCTCAACAGCAAGAAGCAATTGATTCGCTACAGAGTGCGAAATGCCGATCGGAATAAACAACCTCCGACTTACGGACCGGCACAAATAAATTATCAATTTGACCTCCAATTGAAATTCTCTCTCCAGGACAACTACAAAGATGTTAGGCAAGATGCCACCACCACCACAACCATCGCAGTCACCACTGCCACCACCACCACCAGGCTCAGAAGCCTTCGCCTCGCCCTATCAATTGGTACGCGAGAAGGAACTGCTCTTACAAGAGAAGCGGGACCGCCTCGCAGCCTTGAGAGAGGGAGAGTTGAGGATCAAGGCGCTTCGCGCGGCCGTACAGATGGGAGAAGCTGTTCTACAGCTCTCGCCCGAGAGAGCAAGAGTATTCTTGCAGCAAGCTGCACCTATTCTTAATGCTCTCCTCGTCAACGGAATGGGACCGGGTGACCATCGCCCTGGCACCAGTCAACTGGTTGCTCAAGGCCCAGCCCCATTTCCACCCGCGAGGGCTCAACAGGATCGCGCAGAATATCCAGCTTCTGCTCCTGTTGCTCCTTCTCCTTTCGCTTCCGCAGTGCCTACCCCTCCTGCTCGGAGACCTTGGCATCGAGCGATCCAACCTAAACCTCCTTATCAATAGGGGGCAACACATTTCACAGTTACGGGCGGGTCATGCCGTTGGATTGGCGTGCCTGTAATCTGTGGGGTGTGGTCTGTTGTTGGATCGTTGGTTTGCCAGAATCTCCCCTTCAAGAACTCGTCGCTCCAAGCCCACTTTCACTAGTGGGGAATCTGGCAATTTAACCTTGGAAGACAGTTCTTGTTGGTCTCTCTCTCTCGCGCGCCTATCTTCGCATGCCGTGCCCACATGGGTGCCGGACGGGATGGTTCAAATGTTCCCGGATGGTCCAGTGAGTAGCTTTTCAATTTATCCCAATTGTCATCTTTTCCTTTTATCCTCAACTCGCTCGTTGTACAGCGACCCAAATGCTGTTTGATTCCAGTGGACAACACTCAGCGAGTCAATTCATCAAAATTGTTCAAACCTGGGTCAATGTAGCTTTTTCTAACGATCATAGTCGCCAAGCTACTCGCAACCCCCGAGGTCCGTTGCGCGCGATGCCTTTCGGTATCGCGCCAAGAGGGATTTGTTCGCCCACAACCAGAAGAAGTTCCTCGCCAACGATGGCGACGATGAAGATCTGGAGAGAGATAGTGACGATGAAAACGAGGGTTGAAGACCGGCCGCCAACCAAGGTTGGTCGCCTCAATGGCCAGAAACGATAATGTTGTTGAGAGACTGGAGAATGATGGATCAACAGTGTGGTATGTATGTGTTCATCAATCTAGGTCCACACTAATCGGAAGCTAGGAGCCCTTATACCCCATCCAAAGCGAAAAGGTCGGTACAAAGAAACCTGGCACTTCGACCAAGAAGCCTAGCACCTCTACCAAGAAGCCTAGCACCTCTACCAAGAAGCCTAGCACCTCTACCAAGAAGCCTAGCACTTCGATTGACCGCAAGTACTTTCAGGGTTGCCCAGAAGTCAAAACACATCAAAGATGCATCTGCTCGTGTCGATAGCCTGAAACCCAATCTTGGACTGTCCCAAGCCCCGCAGTAAAGAAGCAATTGATGGCCTTGTTGAGGGGTCCATGACCAAACTCTATCCAGTGTACGATTTCATCTCTCCACCCTGATCATATCTGCGCTCTATTGACAGTCAACTGACCTCCATTTTAGCACCCTTTTCTTTCACGTCCAAACCTGCATGAGTACAAAAGCACATATCAGCCCTCTGATTGCACTTGATGAAGTTGCATGCCGTGGGTGTCTCTTTGTGGACACTAGGCTTGCTCCAAGACAACCACGACAGCGTTCATCGTTCAAGGCCATCTTTGCAGCTTCACCATCATCAACATCATTGCCTCCACCAACTATTCTCCGTGATAGCAGTTGTAATTGATGGTATGACCGATTCGATCAATCTGTTGAGTCAGGAAACCCTTCCTTTCCATGGTTGCATATGCGAAGCTTTGTGGACCCAAGGTCTATGTCTTGGAAGACGTTTGAAGCAGCACTGGGGTTTGGGACAGCCAGGATGTCTGTGAGTAGTGTTGAACATGTGACTGAAGTTCTTTCTGACTGGAGAAACAGACATATCGTTGAGGCGGAAGCATTTGACCTGAAGGATGAGGAAAACCTGCCCTTGGTCATCGGCATCCCAAGGACGGTGATGTCAAATCTTCCAAGAACACTTCGCCTACACTGTAACTTTGATGTCAGTCAGTCACCGAATCTCTACGTTCTCTCAGAATTCCGAGAATACCCAAGTCTTTTGCCCTACAGATCACATCAATAGCAGACATGATACGAAGTCAAGTTGGCTATAACAAACCATGGCAAGTAACCAACTCTTCCAGAAAGGGGCGGCTTATGGCATGCTGGGAACACGGGATGTTGATGAAAAGACGAATTTCTCCACTGGGTCGAGGAATCACGACGCCTCAAGGCAACGATGGTCGTTCAATGCTGAAGAATCAAGAGAACAAGCAATAGTCGGATTGACCACCGTGTCTTAGAGCAGCCATCGTAACAATCGATGGCTGCTCTAACCACATTTAACCCTTTCCTCGGTCTCAAGGGAGATCGAACGAAGGCAACTTCTTCCGCGACTAGAATTCCCGGAGAGTCACGAAAAGAGGAGTTGTTTGCCAAGGGACCACCGTCTACTGTCCTGAGTTACGGACGGTGGCCCTGAAATCGACTCCCAGGCTCGATTGCTTGCCTCTTTGGTAGACTGGTTTCCCAAACACCCTTTTTTTTCTGTTTCTGTGATTGCGGAGAATTATGTTTTCTTTTTCCGCGCAGTGATCACTGACAATCTGGTCAGACTGTCCCATCGACGCTATTCGAGGCTGTCCGGATTTGTCAGTGATCACTCGTGACGAAGTAGTACCCGGTCGGCGGATGACAGTCGAATGGATACGGACGAGCTACAATTGGGGGGTTCAGCTTATTGAATGGAAGGAAGACATACGGCTCCGTGATCCTACTTGGGACCCATCACTTCTTCCCTGGTTTGAAAGGGTCGAATCGACGATCGTGTTGTGTTTATCGCAAAAGAACAAAGCAACCACCCGTCGCTTCTGAGCCTCTCAAGATATGGTTTTTTGTTTCCATTGAGAGCAACGAAGCTAACAAGCTGGTCAAACAAAATGAGATCATGGGGCTGCGTACTCTTACGCACGATCTATTTTGTCACCTTCGCACACCGCAATATCAGGGAGGTTACATGCGACCAACCCCGTCCTTCCTCCCACCAGCCAGGCACACCCAAGTCCCCCAAAGCGTTATTTACAGATTGGTCTTTCAGAGGATGGGGATGTTGTGTATGAGTTCATGTATGAAAAGTTGTGACTGGTGTTGTATGAGTCCAAGCAGGATGAAGAGTGAATGGGAGTGAGAGGATTGTGAAGGAAGGGGCCTGTTGTGTTTCAATGGACTTTTGGAGTCGCAAGTGCTCTTGAGGGTTTTAAGTGACGTGTGTTGTAATGTAATTCAAGCTTTGGACAATTTGTGTCTCGTGATCCTGAACATAATTCGATGGCGTGACACCTCTTGTGGTTGATATTAGATACGTAGAAGAAACTCAAGGTCACTTAAAACCGATGTGTCTTTGCATACTAGATAACGTTCGTTTGGGCAAAAGACAACAATGCCGCCTAATTAATTGATAACGACAGAAATGCCACTTGTATGCTACTTATCTTTTTTATGTATTGTTATATAACATTTTTGTCTTTTACCTGTTTATTAAGGTATTAGGTTTCTTCTAGTTTTAAGTACTGTCTTCACACATCACTATAAGTATGTACTTAAGCTTAGGTAAAGCCAGTTAAGAGAAAGAGCTGTCTTCAGATTTTTAATTGTGCTAGATGTGGCTAGTTTATGCTGGCCACTACTGCCTGAATATGAGTACATTCCTGGGTCGCCTCCCGATCCGACTATGTCCTAGAAAAGCAATGGTAATTCGTAAACCATCCATCAAAGTCCGCCATCGCGTACCTCACCTCTAATGTATGTCAAATACTTTCCCTATCCACTCTCGCGTCCTACCCACCCAAGTTTCCTCGTTCACTCCAGATATATGGCCTTTCGTCTTTTGTCGGGAGTAGCTGCAGGTTCATGTTTTACCTCCACTTCACGCTTACGCTTCTCAGGATTCTTACCTTTCCCCTCAGCAGGCTTTACTAATCCATGAATCATACCTAGTGCGGCCTTGAGCATGATGACAATAGGTTCCTTTGACCCAGTCGCCGTAGCACTATGAACGATACCAGTTACAGCGTTCAGGGTAACAATCAGAACCCGAAGCTGTGTAGTTTCTTCCTATGAATCTGCTTTTGGTTGTTGAGGTGACTCTTGCTTGATACCATTCTGAGAGTCTTTACCCAAGATGCGTGGATTTTAAACTACCGCTTATAGTTTTTTAATTTCGGTGCAGAGTTCGTTGATCGTGGTTATAAGTTTATTAATCTTAGTATTATTTTAGATATCTACCTCGAGTTTTCGTTTATTCTTAGCATATAGGTCTTCGATTGTGCTTCGGTCGCGGCGCACTCTTTTTTCATTATCTCTCTCCAGATTTTGAAGTTGCGTTTTCACATTCTCATATTTGCGGGATGATTCTTCCAATTTTTGAACATTTTCTGCTATGGTTTGAAGTGCCACTTCTAGCTTGTCTTCAGTCTCGGTTAGCTTTGTTTTGAGGTTGGTAGTAATCTGTGATATCGCTGGAGCTGGTTTATCTTCATTGCTCGGAAGAAAATCGTTATGTTCAGCCTTGACACTCTCGACGCGCCTAGAATCATCCGGTTCTTCTACGTCAGATGCGTTACTCTTGGTATCAGAGTACTCGTGATTGTCTTCAAATACATTTGGTTGGTAGCGAGGCTGGCGCATCCTGGAGTTATTTTTGAGACCATCGATGTCCTCAGATTGCATCTTTGACTCTTCGTAGTCGTTTTTGCTGCCTTCTGGAATGGGTCTGACAGCTGTGGGCGGAACTCCGCAGAAAGACTCGAACTCGGCTGCCATCACCATTGGGAAGTATGACTCTTTTGTATCCAGTCCACGAAATGTTGCTTTGGAGAGCTTTCCGTCCAGAGTCTGTGCTGGGTAATCGCACTCTGCGGTCCAATGATACGTTTCATCTTCTCCAATTTTCTCGAACCGGCCCTCTTCTTGATGCATGTTAGTGTTCAGAAGACAGTTCTGCATATTTCCACAGGTACTAACGCGGTGAAGAACAACCTCGTTGTCGCTATAATATCCGAATGAATATACTCGGTGGCACGGACCACCTGACCAGGCTGGTCCTGCTTATATTATCGCGGTACGACTTCCACACCTTTAACTCGGTGCGTATTAACAATAGGAATAGTCTAATACTAAGGTTTAGCCTCTTCCTATATTACACCTTATATTTGATAATAAAGTTAAACTAATACTCGTATACGAGAATCATTTTCATGAGATTATAAATAACTTGACTTTAAGTTTCCGTTAAACAAATAGTCAACTTACTACGTTTATAAACCTTTTTAAAATAAACATTGTGTACTATTTGTCGGAAGTTGTCGTTTACTTTTTAGCGTAAGATGGTATTATGTTCTCTCGACCTTATAGTATTATTGTTACCTAAACTCAATGTATTTTTGGGTAAGTTACTAGATAACATTTATTATACAACAAAGTAACTTGATCGCCAAATATAAAGATTGCCTCCTACACTAGCGATACCGGAATATATCTATATCCTTATATTCACTTCTTTCTAATATCTAGCCGTTCTAATCGTCCCTTAATGTGTGGTAATTCTCCCTCTACTATTAAAACATATTCAGGTTCTAGCTAGTATTCTATATAATCTTCCCTAAAGTTACTCTTGGGTTTATTAGGTTTATCCTCGCTACTATTTATATTGTTTTCTATACTATGGCTCTTATTTTCTTCCCTATCTAAAACAGAATTACTATCGTTATATTCCTTAAGGTGTCACGAATCACGTGTTCACGTGATGCTTGTCATAATAAGAGGCGCAACCCTCGACAGGCACATCCAGGTTTCTTATAGCAAATAGGGATTGTTTGGAGTAGCTAAGCGATCCAGGGATTTCTCTTGTATGTAATCACGTGACTAAGACTGGACCGCCAGCTCGGCAGGCGAGTTGACGGCCTAAGGGAGAACGAAGGTTCTATATAAGACTGGCACGTCTGCCATTAGATAGGAGCTTCGTGCTCAACTTAGTTATCGATCTCATCATATTAGTTTGACATCTTTGATACAAGTAACGAGTTCACTTCCAAGTGAACAACCCGATAGTCTTCTTCTTATCATAGCATACCAACCAGCGAACACCCAGCCAAGTTTAGTTAGCCAGTTTGAGTATTCGTTACAGTAATAAGGAAGGAGGGAGGGTAGCTGTTATAACACGAGCACTTACAAGCACTCTCGGCTCTACTATCTAGCATTAGTATATTCTATAGAAGGCGCTAGTTCTATTCAGAACACTTCTATACCGACAGGCAGCCCTATATTAAAGCCCTGCTCGCCCCCCTAGCTAGCTTCTCTCTATATTCTAGCTTATCTGTTCTATATTATACCCCTGTCTTCTAATAGTAGCCCGAGCTATATAGACCCTTTGTTAAAAAGTAGAAGATTTTTAAAACAACTCTAGCCCTCTGGTTATGGCGTAAGTTATAGCTATAATTCGCGCTAGCGTATTCTAACCCGAGAGTACTCGTATACTCGTATTATAGTAGTAGGTACCGGTATCTACTAATCTAGGATCTACTACGTATAACTTATTTACTAATATAAGGTCTATAAGTTAATATATAACCGATTTACTAATATAGGATCTATAACGTATCGCCTATTCACTATAAAATCAAGTTCGGAGGTACAAATAATAGACCAAAAGCTCGGACCACTAATTAGGCGAGTAGGGGGGGGGCGTCGAAATACCGGACGCCCTGGCGTCGATTTACCGCCTCCTAATAATGCTGGCTGATAACAATCTATCCAGTGACGGGCTCTACTTTGAGATAGGAAATGATGATTCTTCGAGGCCTTCAAGTATGAACTTCGTGAAAATCAGTGCTCTTGGGCACATTATCATGAAATGCAAGGGGTTGTAGCAAGAATGCGAGAACAGTGCATGATACGAATTGGATATCTGAAGCTACAATCCAGTGGTGAGTCAGCAAACCCAAATTTCAAGAATTCTGAGAAAATTTTGCCATAAAATGGATTATTCTTGTCGGTTATCATATCGGCTTCCCTTGGCTATGAAGAGAGGCTTAGAAACCCACTCCTTTTAGGAGCTTTCAGTGAGACTCCTCTCCATTCAGAGGCTTTTCGTGAGGCAGAGAGTTCGAGTAGGAAGCTTGGGGACAATGGCTTTCTTGCTTACGCAGTTGATTGAATTGTTCGAGTCTTTCCATATGACTTCTTCATTTGTTCATTAGCATCATATTTTAGCATGATCTCTTGGTATATGTTTCCAACTCGAACACCAAAGCCTCCATACATGAATTTCATTATTGTATCTTCAAGTACTTTCCCCTCTCGTGTTTTCGGCGAGGTGCAGAAATTGGACGGGTTGTATTGGATATGCGCGACTAGTGCATGGTTTCAACAAGCAAACAAACTCGCACTTTCGAATTCCATGCCCCACGATCTCCTCTTCTTCCTAAATTCTCGTCATCAATCTGTGCTGGCCGGAAAATTTGCAACACAACATCGAACCCATCACCTCCGTCTATATGAGGCCCAAAATCCTCCAGCACCATGGATGGCACTAATATACCAGCACTCGCTAATGAGTACTGGAAAACCCACGGCCGAAACCCCAAACTCCAACAAGTTCAAGACATCGGATTTATTGAGATCCTCGAAAAAGCGGGGTTTCCTCTTCGGGCGTTTATTGAATGGCAAACATCTTGCAATGTTAGAACTGTTTACACATTCATCCAAGCTACTTGAATAATGGCTGAACTGTTACAAATAGATACCTCCGATCACAACCCCTCAAACTCCTGTGGCCGCCGCCATCACAACTTTGCCGCCAACTGTTGCCAAAATTGGCATGCCTGTCAATTCCATCATTCCCGCTGCTGCTGGCGCAACTACGCCTAGCACTAATATGGTAAATGATTCTGATATCGCCCATAAAGACGGCTTCAATGACGACTCTTATGAGACACTGAAGGCTGGCATCCAGAATCTTGGAATAAACAAGGACTATGTGCGAAACTGGGACAGTGCCCATGGTTTCCGGGAGTTTTACCAGAATTGGTCGCTATTTCCTTCATGATTGAAGTTATGGTCGAGTGCTGACTATCTGCAGGATGGACGGCATGATTGAATCTTTTAACCTCACGAGAGATCAGGTACTCATTTCTGTCATCAAAGATACATCCGAAGAATACACTGTAGTAGCAAAATCCTCAAGAAGCGCTTGTTCATTAGGATATATCTGCTTTCAAGAGAAGACCGGTGACATCGAACTCACCAATTTCAGAGCTAAGCTCAAGCGAAAGGCCTTGGGATTCGGAGTCACTTCAAAGCAAAACTTGGCAGATGTGGCAGGTAAGCACGGAGAAGGTTCCAAAGTCGGGGCACTGGTTCTGGTTCGCAAGGGATACCAGGTTCGCTATGAGTCAAATTCGTATTACTGGAACTTCTCTCTAGAGGGTCCATTCAGTGACACTCTGCAGGTTCAGCCCAATGACAGACCAGGGGATAGATAAACTCATCAGTCTCAACTAAGAAAGTATTGGTTAAGGGCTCCTACATAAGCTGGAAGGAAACATCTGGGAAGATACAACAGTTAGGATCAGCAGTATTTATAGTAAGAAAGACTCCGGAAGAAAAGTTGAGAATTTGAAATTCCGAGACTAGATTAAAGTTACACTAGTACTAGACCCGCCATCAAATATTATCAGAACCCTACTTAGAGATCTAATTCTGGATAATAAATGTGCAGGTAGAGTGTATCTCAAGGATTTGCGTCTAGGGGATGAGGGCGACTTCCGCAACATGGTACAAAGCGAGAAAAGCCGAGATCACGTAAGACTTATCAATGTTAAGAAAGAGGCCCGACAGCTTGCTGATATCTGGGCATTGGCGACGAAGGTAAATCAAGATGCCGCATTGCCAAAGTATGTTCAGATATGATATAGTGAATCACTACTCGTAATCTATTCACTATTCCCCATTGACTTTAGACACAGTGCCCGCACTCTCCTCTGAAAGACAAATCTGTAAGAGACGTGGTCGTTACTCTCTATACACCTCTCTTAGAATCAAATTATTTTAGAAGCGTCGTACAACTAAATACTTCTAGAAAGAAGTTGGAATAATTGTTATTAGTTCCTTTTTAATAGCCTAGGTATATTAGTATAATTATCGTACTTATATTAAATGTTTTGTATAATAAAATTTTATATAGTATATATAGAGTAACGACTGGGAAGATCTTTTTCATTTCTCGTGCGCTAGATTACTAATCCCCGTCTTAAATAGAGCGTGCTACGTGTTAACAAGGCTATATAGATAACGAGCTTAAAGACGAGGGCGTACTAAAGGGCTATACGCGAGAAAGATCTACAAATGGAAACAGAGGGTTACGTAAGTATCTGTGAGAGGCCAGACCTCGAATGGCTCAAAGGTGTGGTTTCGAATATTCAATTAAGAAGTGCGTGAAGACTACATACATGCAATCTCTTCCTCTATATATAGAGAGAGGAAGAGTTTCTGGAGTCTTCCAAGAAACTGTTTGACAAATACGTGACGTCAAAAGAATAGAGTAGAAAAGTGTAGAAAAGGAGAAACCAATTTAGCAGTGGAGCAATGGCCAATGCTGAGCGGGGACTTTGGTCAGTGCTCAGCGAGGGCATGGCCCGAGCCTCCATCATGGGTTCCAAACCTCACAATTATCACTATTTTGAATAAGTTCCCTCCCTTCCTGACCTGTAAGAACACCCCCAGTAGCAATATATTGACGTCGCACAGTCTTCTTCTTCTTTTGACGTTCAGATTCAGCTCGTAAACGTCGATTTTCCTCTGCCAAAGCCGTAGCTGATTGCATAGCCATCTTACACCCTTTAACCAATTGATCTAATGCAATAGCAGTAGGGCTTCAGAGAACGTTTGTACGTCGTTTAATAGATGCTTTAATTGTCTGGGTTTGCTGATCTGCCTCATATGTATTATGGGGTGTCTCA